AGGTATCTTCCTCCGGTGTGTTGAGAAATCGAGGTATTTATCGAGCCATACACCCAGGTACTTAGCAGTACTAGTCGGTGCTAGTGTCGTTGTTGGTTCGCCAGGTAAGGTGGCAGGACCTCGAGAAATCGAGTCCTGCTCACAGGGTGGATCTGCATACTGGGAATGCACCACCATTTGTCGTCGGGAGCGGGCTCTGGGACGCAACCCCCGCATAGCAGCATGTATGTAAAGCGAGCTAAATCGGGTCAATGAATTCATCATCATCATCATCATCATCAACATGTACATTTGATCCGTGACCCCTTGTCGTGATATGTGTCGTAATATACTCGTGAATGCAGCCGTCTGGGCATTATAGAAAAATCCAATTCACCACTCTAATCGATCATCACAGACAAGACTAATATCAAATTTCTCCTGCCCTTTCCAGACCTTCCCACCAGAGTTACAAGACGCAACAATATCACGGAGATCACTTATCATACTACCAGGCCCACTAGCAAAGACACTCGTTGGGCCGCGCACCGTATTAGCCAAGAAATCATCAACCAACCGCGGAAGATCAGGATGTCTATGAACATCATCCGAAGCACTCCCGAGCCGCTCGACAGCATTAGGCTTGTCGCAACCACAGCATGCAGAAACCGACTTGGAAGGAGAGACCTGCACAGTCTTCTCTTCGATCATTGGGACCGTCAGATTGCAATTTTCCGAATCCGAATTTTCAATCGACGGCGTCTTGCTCCCCGAGTCTCTGGTAGCGAAGATTCGAATCTCAAGGTTCAAAGTCTTCCGCGCTTTCTGTAAGACATCCAGCTCTGCCGCAATCCATTCCGTATTCACCGTGTGGCGGACCGCCCAGATGAGTTCGACTCTGCGGTCTGGTGAGGGTTGCTGCTGGGCAAGTTCTAGCAGAACTGGGAGGACGTAGGTGATGCCGGTCCCGCCGGCAACGCAAATTATATTGGTACTTTGTGTCAAGTGACTGGTGATGGATTCGCCATATGCGCCGGTTAGGATAACGGGTGTTGTGGGTGTGCCGGTTGCAGCCAGATCGGCGACCTTTTTCGTCTCGCCGCTTTTCGCACGGAGGATGTATGAGTGTTGGACTGTGCCCTTTGACACGGTGGGGAGGTTTAGTGGTGTGAAGGGATGGGATTGCCAGATACTGCACTTTGGGAATGATAGGTAGTAATGTTGGCCGACGGACCAGGGGTCCTGAGTATTTTTCAGGTCGAGACGGATGACATCACCGTGTTCTGTGCCTGGGAAACGGGTGATGGTTGCATTGGCGGACTTGAAGCCCAGACCGAGAGTACCCGAGTGATCGGGGTGGTAGTGTAACAGGGCTGTACGAACGAGGCGAGCTCCGCGATCGAGGAACCAGAAGATCAGCGAGGGCCACATGAAGCACTTGAGCTTCTTCCAGTGGGCCCAGCAGGCACCGATGTAGACCATGGCGAGGATGTAGTGTAGTTTGCGGAAGGTCTCATAGCCGGTCATTCTAATTCCCCACGGCGTGCTTAGCACAACTAGTAGGAGTAACAGAATCATGGCGACGATCCCCCAGACGATGTATGTCTGAGTGACCCATTCAAGTCCGACGGTGGGCTGCGGCTGGTACATTCTCAGCTCGACGACACACCAACTGATTGTGTGCAAGGACCCTTGCACAAAGATGATATAGCCCAGCCAGCGATGGAGGAAGTTGAAGCTCTGGTATGGCAGGCCGGTGATGAGAGAAAGGAAGGATTCCCGGCTGCTCAACAGCACGGAGAGCGGGGTGAGGGCGTAAGCCAGGATGCCGATGCGGTCTGACCACGGGCCTATGCTGCTGCGGGTATTGTAAACACCAGGCATCTTTGAGACAGGCGTGACCCATGTGTTGTATATAATGCCGACAAAGCTGAAAATGAGGAGGTAGCCAGCCAACACAGCGAGGGTGAGCACTTGAAGGCGCGTTGTCCGGCCGAAGATAAATCGAGCCGCATCGGGCAGGAGAAATTTCCGGGCTAATGAGGTAACAGAGCGGCGGACCTTGTATAGACCGGCTAGTTCTGGCGTTGCTAGTGTTGGTGATATTGTTGGCACATTGAAATGCTTTAGGATGACCCCGAGGAGCAAAACTGTGCCAATGACACACCACAGAATGCCTGAATATAGCATTCCCAGGTCATGTGATGCATATACAACGTCGAGATACTCGCACGATCCTGGATCGTTGGTGCATGGGAGGCCGCGATCGTAGTATCCCCAATGAGGCTCTAGTGATGTCGCCGCGCTCAGGTTCTGGATGTGGCGAACATCCAATTTTGGAGACGACATAATGTCTTCAACTGGCCTGCGCAGTGGCCTGATTTTGGAGACCGAGTATGAGCCTCAGCTCAGTTCCAGTGACGTGGGACGACGATTCAGCGTCAGCTAGCGAAACAACAACGATTTCTGCGTCCAATGGATTTATCTGGTCATGCCAAAGCACACAAGAGGTTTTGAGATCTAGTGGGAGAAGCCCACGAGATTTTATTCATTGCCATTACCTGAATCCACTTGCAAGAATAAGGTGGCCATTTTGAATTTGCGGCGATTTGAGCACATTTCTCCCACCCCATCGCCGGTTTTCTCCACTTGGCTAGAGCGCAGGTGGAGAGAGGCCATCGGATTATAAGACCATCGGCCTCGAACACTGATATCGGACATGCAATTTCTTCAAAATCTCATCCCCCTATACCTAAAATACCAGTCAAAATGGAGGGTATGGACCACAGCAGCAGCTCAAGCAGCTGCAAGGTCTCGGTGAGTGCCAAGATCTTCGGAGAATCAAGTGGATTCGCTAACCAAAAACCAGATGATGTTCAATTTTCACACCATTGATGCCTGCTTCCTGTCCACTGGATGGCAGATTAAAAACAATGGCATGTTTGCTGCGACCTGCATTGGCACAATTCTGCTCGTTGTCCTGGTCGAGTTCTGCCGGCGCATTGGTCGGGA